CACACCACACACCACACACACACACACACACACACACACACACACACACACCTCAAAGAAATGTAATTTAAAAATTAAAAAACAGTTATTTCAGGCTTCACCTACTGCAGAAAACCTTCCTAAACTTAGGACCCACAAGGCTGCCCTCCGCCACATTGACTGTGCTCAACTGCTTCCACACTGTAGTAAGTCCTGAGAAAGCTGGCTAGGGAAGTCTAGGTATCTTTTAGTTCCCAGTGCCTGGTACAAGAAGTGGAGAAGAAGAATGGGTGGACAGAAAGACTTCTGGTAACACATTGAAAGCTTAAAATGACCCCTCGACAAACACCATTCCCTTCCAGAAACAGCCATACATTTTCCTATGTAAATATTTTCTACATAAATAACTGCCACTCACTCCTATCTCTTATCCAGTTGTTATAGTAGGAATGGATGAGGTGTGTGTGTGTGTGTGTGTGTGTGTGTGTGTGTGTGTTTGAACTCAGGACCTTTAGGAAGAGCAGTCAGTGCTCTTAACCTCTGAGCCATCTCTCTAGCCCCTATTTTGGTCTGTTTTAAAAATGGTGACAAACAATATAAAATTGCAGATAATTTAAGCTTACTCCAAAAATATGTGCTAGATTCAGTTCAGAAATTTAAGACATCCAAATATGCCTATGAAAAGCTTAGAAAATCTGCCCACCTGTGAAAGTTGTAAGGGGAAACCATGTCAAACAGCTTTCTGTTACAGCAAATGCCCAAGACAGTCAACTCATAAAGGGAAAAGTTCTACTTTTGACTCACAGTTTCAGAGTTCCAAGCCATGCTGGCTCCATCTCACTGTGTTTGGGCCTTTGGTGAGAAAGCGCATCGCAGTGGGGATGTGTGACTAACAAAACTGTCCTCTTCATGGCCAGGGAAGAAAAAAGAGAACAGGGAAGAGACTATGCATGGTCTTGCAATGGCATGCTTCAGTGGCCCAAAGACCTGTCACTGGACTCTACCTCTTAAAGTCCCACCTCTCCCAATGGCACCTTGAGAGACTAAGCCTTTAGAACAGGATCTTTAGGGAACACTCAATATTGAGACTGTATCAGAGAGCATAAGAACTGAGGCTGCCTTCATTATTTCTGCCTGTAGGGCATCCCCAGACCCCTATAATGGAGTAACAGGCAGTTGTGAGCAATAATGTGGGAATTGAACCTGGGTCCCCTGGAAGAGGAGAAATTGCTCTTAAGAATGAGTCATCTCTCCAGCCCCAAGAACATGAGTTATTTAATTGCATTTTGAAACAGAGTCTCCCTATGTAGTCCTGGCTGTCCTGGAACTCACTCTGTAGATCAGGCTGGCCTCAAACACACAGAAATCTGTCTGCCTCTGCCTCCTGAGTGCTGGGGTTAAAGGTGTGCCCCACTCTAAACCGACAAGAATATGATTGTTGATATGAAAATGCTTGTGATGCTCCCACAATGTTAAGATTCAGTTTCTGTATTTCAGGTCGACCCCCAAGAGGGATGTGAAGTGAACTTGGTGTTTAGCACAGAGCGCTACAACCCTGAGGAGGTAAGCTGCCATAATTAGTGATGTAACCTAGTAGCAAAGTCAATACATACAGTCTTTAACGGAAAAAGTGAGAATCTTAATAGGAGACTGGGTACCTACCACAGTAGTGAGGCAAGACCGGCAGACGGCAAGTGATCTTACCTTCAGGACAGTGGGGAAGAGCTTATTGAGCATGCTGTAAGATGGCAGCAGGCTGGGCAGTAACCAGCATCTAGCCTGCATGGAAGGCGGGATGGTTGCGGGGACTCCATTGGGGAATTTCTTTTACAGTTATGGTAGATTTTTTCTTAAGTCAATATGTTTAATTTTCATTTAAAATATTTTAATCTATTCTTTGAAAGTTCCATATCTGCATACAATGTAGCTTGAGCTTTCCCACCCCCTCGTGCCTTTCTCCAATTCCCTCAACACCCACCAACCTATCTCCCTCCAGACTTCATGTCCGTGATTATCACTATTGTAATTATTATGATTAGCACACGGAGTCTAATCAGTAGCGACCACATACAGATGTGTGTGGCCATCCACTGGGGCAGAGAAGTGTGGTGGTATTGTGTTCTCCAAAATATTGTGCACGCTAATAAACTTAACTGGGGTCAGAGACAGAACAGCCACAATATTAAACATAGAGGCAGTGGTAGCACACGCCTTTAATCCTAGCATTCCAGAGGCAGAAATCCATGTGTTCAAGGATACAGTCAAGCATGGTGACTCACGCCTTTAATCTCAGAAAGCGAGCCTTTAATCCCAGGGAGTGGTGGTAGAAAGCAGAAAGGTATATAAGGTGTGAGGACCAGAAACTAGAAGCATTTGGCCTGGTTAAGCATTCAGGCTTTTAAGCAGCAATTCAGCTGAGACCCATTCTGGATGAGGACTCAGAAGCCTCCAGTCTGAGGAAACAAGACCAGCTGAGGATCCAGTGAGGAGAGGTAGCTATGGCTTGTTCTGGCTCTCTGATATTCCAGTGTTCACCCCAATAACTGGCCTCAGGTTTGATCTTATTAATAAGAACTTTTAAGATTCATGCTACAGAGAAGTGTCTCCCTTCTCTAGCAGCCATCAATTGCCAGTAGCTCCTCAGCCAAGGGTGGGGCCTGCTGAGGCCCCAATCCATGGGAGAATCTTGGCTGGCTTGACCTTGTGTGGGTCACCACATCTGCTGTGGGTTGAGTTGATATGGGCATCAGCCCTGTCATGGAAGACAGCCTTTTAAAAAATTGTTTTATGTGGATGGGTGTTTTGCCTTGATGTATGTCTGTGCACTGTGTGTGCGCCTGGTGCCCTTGGACGTTAGAAGAAGACTCTAAAACTGGAGTTACAGACAATTGTGTCATGTGTGTGCTCAGAATCAAAGCTGGGTCCTCTGGAAGAGCAGCCAGTGCTCTCAATGTTGCCCCATCTCTCTAGCATGAAGACTTTTCCATAGGTTTCATCCTCACCTCTGACTCAGATTCTTTTTATGCGCTCTTCTTTGATGTTCTCTGAGACTTGGATGTCGAGGTTGACCAGATGTCCCATCTACTCATCTCTGGCTGAGCACTCATGTTCACTTCTTCCCAGCCTTTTGACCAGTCATAAGACTCAACATTAACCGCTACTCCCTGAAAAAGAAGCTTCCCTGACCAAGGTGGAAAGTAACACAAATCTATGGGTATAAACATAAATAGTTAAGAAGGCAGTGTGACAGAATGACCATTTATCAAAACAACACCCCTGGGGCCTCTGATTTCCCAAGCCATGGGCTTTTGACAAGGCTTCTAGTAGCAGACATGCAACCAGTCCTATGGAGCACACCTCGAGTTGTAGCAGAAACTGATTGGTTACCTCCGTAAGCTTCATGCCACTATTGCACCCGTGGCTACAGCTTTGCCGGCAAGTCAGTGTTGCAGCTTGCAGGCCCCCGTGCTGAATAAGACCATTGATGGCTTTTCTCCCCCAGCAGCTTGTGGAGCACCTTCCAGTGCGATGAAACCCAGCCAGCAGGGAGAGCTTCCTCGTCAGTTTGAGACTGATTTCCTGATTGATGTCTTGCAACCATGGTTGAAGTCTTCAGAAACAGGGACCTAATATTTAGTTACAGAGTTTTGAGTACCTCTCCGGCCTCCCTGACCAATGACTTGTAGGGAGGCTTCCTATGCCCAGCACTTCCATTTTCTTGAAATAACCATTTCTTCTGGGAGATGGTGTTCAAAAGCCATTTCATGGTGTGTAATTCCCGTCACGTGAAGACACAGTTCAGATTGGCAGCTGTGCTATTCTGGGAAGTTATTGTGAGCCACTTTGCATGTAATTTCCAATTGTGCGATCTCTGACGTGTAAATAAGGGCCCTGCAAATTGGAGGAATTTTGGTTGATCACATATCTGTCCTGGTCAAAGGCTCAGGTCACAGATATTGGGCTACAGAGCTCTGTGGCAGCAGTTGGGAATTCCTGGACCATGCTTGGGGACCCCTTTTTCTGATCTCTCAGTAATGGCTTCAACAGTTACTGGTTTCATATGTCTGCATTTAGAATCGTCCACATACCTGCCATTTCCCCCTTCCTCAGGGCCCTCTGGGAGAGAATTTCACAACTCCCTTGGGTGTCCTTCCTCACACTTCATCGTCCTTAGAATGACTCACTGTGAAATGCCAATATGTTCTTTTTCCTGTCAGCTGGTGACATTTCTAGTTGGCAGGCTGGCACAGTACGAGGCCAATTCTGTATCAGGTTAGAGAATCATTTACACAGAGGCATTGCATAAAACACAGAGCAGTGCCCATGCATGCTGCAGGCACTGTCTGCCTCTCTGCCGTCCCCACCATGCAGCCCACGATTTTCTAGGTTGCCTTCACCCCATTTTCATGAGAGAGTAAGATGGACGTCCCTGTGAAGAGTCTGCCTGAGAGGTGGCAACCAGAATATGGGTGGAGAGGCCAGCCCAGATTGTCAGCAGTGGTGGTCTGAGCCTAAGAAGCCTGGGAATTGCAAGCCGCGCCCCACATCAAAGTATGACAGGGAGGCAGAGTTTCAGAGGGAAAGGCCTGCGTCCCTGACCTAGTGCTTCTGGAAGAAAGCTGGCCAGGATTCAGAAGCAAGTTCTAGCACAATACATGCAGGCAGACCTTGCTTATTAACTGCAGAGTTAATTTTTCTGAATGTACTGGAAAGATGCCTGTGATTTCTAGCTTTGCAAATGGCAAACATTGAAGCTAAAAGCGAACGATGACTGGGCTCTTCTGACCAAGAACACACTCCTCTGGATGTGATGGGCCGGTACTCTAAGAGCACAGCCAGCTAACTGGAGTGAAGGTCAGTCTTTCATCTTCACAGCACAGCACAGCAGAGCTGTCTGATGGGAGGCACACGGAGAGGACATAAATACCTAGCTCTCTTCCTCTTCCCAGGAAAGGGCTAACATCAAAGGAGGGAGGGGTGGGCCCTCTTTGATAGCTTGAAGAGCCTTTCCATTTTTCTGTGCTGCACCACTAATTAGCATATGAGTTAGTGCACTCCGGAAACCCCTCCTCCCATCAGGAATAGACTCTCCTAGAGAAAAGTTACCCAATGGAAAGTTTGTTTCGGTTCTAGAAGCCGGCTTATTTTGAAGACCCAACTTTGATTATAATTTCTTTCACAGTGGACCTTTTGAGTTTATTTCTGGTTCTTGCTTCAAAACCAGGATGCCATTTAAATCACTAAAAAGAAACGAAGGGACAGGCGGTGGTGGCACACAACTTTAATTCCAGCACTCGGGAGGCAGAGGCAGGTGGATCTCTGTGAGTTCGAGACCAGCCTGGTCTAGTTCCAAGACAGGCTCCAAAGCTACACAGAGAAAACCCTGTCTTGAAAAAAAGGGGGAGCGGGGAGAGAAATGAAGATTATTGCTTCAACTATTCCACCAGCCATGGTCTGATAGGACACCCTGACTAGGAGCCCATGGCTTGGTTTGGGTGGGGCTGCAGCTAGTGAATGTGAACTCCTCATTCCAAGTCCAATGCCCATGGTATGAGCCTATGCGTTTTGCTAGGGATAGGTCCTTGGCTTTAATGGTCAAGTTAAAGAACCTTGACCAAAATGGAGAAGAATCACTATCCAAGAGCATACACCTGAAGTCTTCGGGTTTGAAATAAGTGGGGGTGGTCACAGGATCCACAGTCTAAGTGCACGCAAGTGTTACTCAGTGGCTGAAGTTGTCCTATCTGGATGATTGGGGTGTTTAATTTGGAAGAGATCTCAGAATAAGGAGGCAGAATTATTATAGCCTAGGTTAGTAGCTGAGCTCAGAGAGGAACCAATTCGAGTCATACGAGCTGAAGACATGAAGTGGGTTCCTTTTTAGAAGTCAGCATTTTGGTCTTTAGGAAAGGAGCTAATTCATGCGTGCACATGCTGGCATTTTTGTCAATAGGAACCAGCGTCGTCTTCTGACTCAAGTTAGTAAGCTTAATGTCCAAGTACCATAGTGTTAGTTCCAGACAGAGTGAAGCAGCCACTGTCCTGGTAGTGTGAGCCAAGAAGGGCTCCACAGACAGCAATGTGATTTCTTCATTCGCAAGAGGTCCATCCGGCATTGTTACATAAAGACGAAATCCAAAGGTAAAAAGTTGAAATGACAGCAAGACTGAAGGACTACTCTGCTTCGGTTTCCTTTCTGTTGCTGTGGCAAAATATAGACAAAAGCAACAAGAGACAAAGGATTTGTCTGGCCCACAGTTCCAGGGCACAGTCCATCAGTGGGAAGTCACAGTGCACCCATCATCAGAAAGCAGTGAGTGATGAGCCTGGGCCCCCCCCTCCCCCGATCAGCTCCCTCTCTCCATTTACATAACCCAGGATCACAGACACCCAACAACAGGTAGCCTGATTAATACAATCAAGACAATCCACCCTGGGCATGCCTAGAGGTCCGTCTCCCAGGTGATTCTGGGTTCTAGCCAGTTTACAGTTCCCGCTAACCTCAAGCCACGAGCACAAAAATCACCTTCTCTATAGTTAAACCCCCTCTGTTGATTCCAGCCTGCCAAGCTCAATGGATTCTCAGTCTGGGTTTCTGTGAATTGCAGTGGGCACAGTTGATAAGGAACCTTCTTGGGTAACTTCAAAACTTTCATTGCAGGAAGCTGAGGAACGTTTGGGCAAATGTTCTGCAAGGGTGTTTTTCAAGAATCAAAAACCCAGACCAGCCATTAATGTCACCTGCACAGGACTCATTGAGAAAATGAAGAGACAAGAAAGAGATTATCTGCTTTACAAGCAAGTGAAGCAACTGAAGAGTCCTCTGGACATCGTCAGCATCCCTGGTATGAATCAGTAGCTAGGAGCCCTATATTCAGGAAGGTATATAATCACTAGATCATAAAAAGAATGATGATTTACATTTGCATGTCTGGAGAGGTGCTAAAGTTCAGCTATAGATCGGGATGTCTCATTATTTTAATGAGGCTCCCAGGTGTCATTTTCTGTTCATCTGTACAGTACACTAAAGCTACCAAAAGCTGAGTCCCTTTAGTTGACCATTTTTGCATCCCAGAATGAGGACACAAGAACTGACTCTAGGAACAAAAGACAGAAGTCCTTGCAAAGACAATTGTGTAGACTGGAGTACAGATTGCAGGGGAGTCTAGAACCCGAGGTGACACTCGTAGAGTTCTTGTTGATAGCCTTGGGAGGTTTAGCTGACAAGATACTCCATGTCTGTGCTCAGTCCCTCTGGCCCAGGGCTGCCTGAGTGACTGTCTGGGCCATTCTGGGCTGCTGCAGTGGGGTCATGTTTATCTCATTTCAGGTCAGTGGCTAATGGGCAGTGGAGCCGTCTCCAAGAGATGTGCCCTGCCCTCTGCAGTGACTCAGCTGGAGTGGAGAGCAGCCCATTTGTCTTGGCACTCAACAGAGTGTGTGGGCAGCACTAGACATTCAGCACTTACTGGCAAATCCAATTTCCCAAACCACAAAAGTCATCTCTGGACTTGCACTTGGGCATGAGCTTGACATCTGACCACTCCAGCACTCGCCTCCCCACACGCTCGCTCAGTTTGCTCACTGGCCCAGATACCCTTCGATTCCTCATCAACACCTGCGAACCCCAGGCTCCGTTTCTCACGGGCATCTGCCCCCACTTACTGACACTGACCAAATGCTTGCACTTCTAATATCACAGCAGCCTTGAGTGATTCTCACCTAATGCGTTTCCTTGACAAGGAAGATCAAATCTGGAGCCAAAGAACTATGAGAATTCAGAATAGTGTTGGAGATATTCATGTTGCTTGGAATAAGTGAGCTAATGACTAATATTTAAAAATCTACAGTTGCATCGACATCTTGTTTCTCCCTTAGATTTGGAAGTAGGGATCATCTGATGCTTTAAAAAAGATTTATTTTTAATTATGTGTAACTGTGTCTATGCGCACGCGCGTGCGCATGCACCATGTAAGAGCCTGTGTCCATGGAGTTCAGAAGAGGGCATCAGATCCCCAGAGCTGGAGTTACAGGTGGATGGGGGCTGCTCAGTGTGGGTCTTCCACAAGAACAGTACAGGCTCTTAACCGCTGACCTTGGATAGGACTTTTACCAGAATTTGCCACAGTAGCATTAGCTTTGGGACACTCTTCAATAGAGCCACTCAACTGGATCCTGTTCACTTACTAAGAACTGTGTACTCCTAGGAGCCATTCTGCAATCTCCCTAGATTTGGCTACTGTACAACATCACACACACACACAAAAAAATATTGGGGCTGAAAAGGTGGAGAAAAGCATTGGTTGCACGATCCTGAGGTACAGAGTTTGGATCCCATCACCCATAGGGGAAGCTAGGTATCCCACAAACACCTGTTAATTCCAGCTCCAGAGGACATGACACCTCTTCTGTCCTCCATGCATGCACCAGAACACACACATATGCATATACAAATACAGAGACATACACGTTCTCGAGCACACACAAATCCATAAATAAGTGGAGGGCAGTTTTCATCAACAAAGTTTGAGTTCTGCTCTCACTTTGAGTTCAGCAGACACTGAGGGATGCTGATGCTCATGTATGCAAAACTATCTACTGATGATCAAAGCCTTGGTTTACTAGACAGATGCATTAATGAGTATGTGAAAGCTGAGGAGACCAGGGACATTTTTCTGAAAGTTCACAGATCTCTAAGGTGAGCTGTGTATTAATGATCTCATTGTTTCATAGCATCAAGGGGATAGTCCTGATTCACTGAATGAGTGCAGGATAAAATGGACTGGGGCAGTTACCTTAAATTTTTATAAAGTACTAATTATTACTAGGAGGTACAAAATAAAATTATTCTGTTTAAAAGACATGAACTTTTATTATAAAATAATGTTGTGATTCAATAAATCATGCAATATATTCCTACTTTAACGTAATTTATAGTTTATTTGTTATTTGTTGAAAAATATACTTTTGTTCGTTGTGACTGCCTTTTTAACCTACTTATCCAGTTTCCAATAGGAAATGACTTTTGATATATTGAGTAGCCGAAATCAAGTAACACAGTGGATGTCTGTAATCAATTGAATTTATAAATTTCTAGAAACAAAAACAAACCAGAGGGCTGACTTTAGATTGAGGCCAAGTATGGAGACAGGCTTGGAGTAACCAGTTCAAGTCTTGGCAGTTTCTAGTCAATATTTAGTTAGTGCACAGTGATGAACTTTCGTAGTTTAATTAATAAACAAGACAATCTAATCCTAGCTCCCCATTGTTTCTCTCTTTAGTTAGTCCTCAAACTTCCCACAGATAAACATCTGTGGGCAGAGGGAAAGGCCGGAGGAGCTTCAGATTATCAGTAACACCCCATGTTGCTAAGTGCACTTACCCGGTCACATGTCCTCACTGCTGACCATCTTTAGTGTAACTCATTTATCTTTGAGGGTAATGCATTTGGCTATCACAAATCTAAAGCTACAGTAAGATAAGAAAGCGTTGGGGAGCTGAAGGAAGTTTCAGTCACTGGAAAAGAAGGGGGGGGGGGGAAGGATGCCAGAACCCTGAGACAGGAGACCAAGGCAGAGACATTCCTGTCACTGTGTTGGCGTTGGAGTCCTGCATGACATGTCCCGCAACCCTAAGGATTCAGCTAGCTGCTCACATCAAGGAGAAACTATAAATTCATTCACAAAGTGCTAATAATTCCGCCAAGCAGCAGAAGTCGGAAGCTTCTCTACGATAACATGAATACAGTCACAGATCCCTGTTGATCAACGTGTTCTGGCAGGTCGACAACTGGGTTACAGGAGTTAGCTTGAGAAGTCAGTGGAGGACCACAGTGCTCGGCTCTAAGCGTGAAGGCACTTGTATGGGTGGTAACAGAAGAGAACGAGAGACCAAATCCTTAGAGGAATCATGTCATGGTGGCTGATGGCAGAGCAGGAAACCAAGGCCTTTCAGCTCTACTCTCAACAAGTTTTCTTCTACAAGCACTTGCCAAGTGCCGGGCCTCCAGTACACCCATTACGTCTAATATCATCTTGCTCTCTAAAACACAGCCACATGCGAGCTCTTGCCTTTCTATAGGCTCAGAGCATGCCAGCCTGCGCACATGCAGTGAGAAAATTTTACCTTCTGCTTTCCGGAGCATGAGCCATTTGCTTCCTCAAATTCTAATGTTGACTTATTTTGATTTCTATGTGGGGGTGAAGGGTGGGGGACGTGCACATGGAGGCTGGCTTTGTGGAGTCAATTCTCTCCTTCCACCTTTATATGGGGTCTGAGGATTGAACTCGGGTCTTCCAGCTTGCATGACAAGTTCTCCCCACCCCCAACCACAGCCATCAGGGGATCATCTCTGAATGCTGGATCCCCACAGACTAACCAATAGGATGTATGCTAAAATTTACTTTACCTGAAGAATGTTTCCTAATGAGCTCGCCTTGGAGCACCGCACTGCTGGCGGGCCACGACAGAGGGTGTCTCCACCAAACTGTACGCAATGATAATCCGTGATATTATTTAATAAAGTTTGACTTTCTAAAAGTAATTAACCATAGTATCCCTGTCTCTTGAAGTCGGACATTGAGTGGATTTTAAGGATTTGCTGAGTAAAAAAAAATATAAATGAAAGGTTAAAAAACAAACAGCACAGGAAAAATCCATCTGATTTTTTCATGTGTTCAAAAAAGTGACTGGGAAGCTGTCATGTCATTAGTTAGCTTTAAAGGACACAATGGCACTCACTTTCAAGCCAAGTCAGCAGGTAAGGAGATGGGCGGTGGACTTCAACTAACAAATGTCTAGATTAATGTTTAGTATCATGGCTGTTTTAGCATACATACATCCATAGTGCTACAAACTGCCATTAAGTCAGTTTATATTTATTTGGTGTAGCAAATTCAAGCACATAACCTCCATCTTAACCTCATGTCCAGTTCAAGATACTCCTGGTGAGACGATCTAATACTCAATCCCTAATTTCATTACTGAAATTTCTCAGATTTCGTCTTAAAATGTCTTAGTACAAATGTGCTTTTTTCTCCTTCTCAGATAATCATGGACATATTGATCCCTCGCTGAGACCCATCTGGGACTTAGCTTTTCTCGGCAGCTCTTATGTGATGTGGGAGAAGACAACCCAGTTCCTTCACTACTACTTGGCCCAGCTCACCAGTGTGAAGCAGTTGGTAAGAACCTGAAAACTAGCTGGGTCAGCGGAGCCACAATGGACGCCGGGCTCCCAGCCTGAACCAGCGGGAACTCTTACCTTCATGGCAGGAGCTTTAACTACATTTCATTCATTCAGCCAATATTTGAGTGGCCACAATGGCTCAGGTATTGTGTTAGGGATGGAGGAGGTAGCTGTAAACAAAACCACCTTCGTTGACTTCAATGAGACCCAATTCTAGAAAGAAGCCAGATAGAGTTAACAAGCCAACGAATATATATCCAACAGTGGTGGGAAACGCTATGGAAAGAAGAAAGCCAGGAGGAACCACAGGCTCTTGCTAGACAGCTTGCATGGTCAAAGTAAGGCTAATGGAGGTAGAGGTGACATTGGATCAGAAGCCACAAGGCCCCGAGAGCGAGAGAAGGAGACATGGAACTGGGGCAGCAGGGTGGCCGATGGTCGAGGGAGCGGCAAGGCCCAGTGGTCATGCAGAGTGATCAGAGAGCCTGAGCAGGAAACGAGATGGCACGGCCGGAAGTGGAGGGTATCTGTCAGTCTGGGAGGTCGTTAGCCCAGGCTTGCCTTTATCCTGTTAGGAGGAGAGAGACAGGATGTGATTTTCACAGGATCTTTCTGGCTCCATTCTGAGAGCAGACTACAGTGAAACAAGGGAGGAGCCGGAAGGCGTGGTGGAGGCATGGGCTAGAGGCAGCAAGGGAGGTGGTGGCGTGTTTGGATTCAGGTGGACTGGCAATACTGCTTAGGGGTGGATGTGAACATCGGAACGTGGTCAGCGCTGAAAGAGGAGTCTCAGGATTGGGGCCTGAACCTGGAAGGCTAGTTTCTATGCACTGATTGGAAAAGACGCCATCAAGCAGTTTTAGAGGAGACGGTCTTGGTTTGTGGCGAGAAGACAATATGGATAGTCATCTTGTCACAGAGGTTTGTGTTTAGGAGACAGCGATGGGCTGTAATCAGGCCCACGTGATGGTGTTTAAACCACTGACTGGGAAGGCTCTCAAGCGGTGGTGTATACAAAGCTGCTGAAGACTGGATCTAACACTCTTCTAACCTTAGAGCTGACAGTGGACTCCACCTGTAGGGGACGGAGACGACAGCAGCCAGATGACAGTCACAGGTGACAGTAGCCCAGGCGGGAGCCTCTGAGCTCTCTGCTCTGTCCTCCCAGGGAGGTGACAATGAGCGGATGTGTTGGGGATGAGGTGGCCCTCACATGAATGTGAGTGACCTGTGCAGGGGGTTTGTCACTCTTCGCAGGGGGAAACAGGTGAGCAGCTGCCTTCCACTGGGGTTGGGATTCTTCCCAGGTAAATGTGATACAGGGAGAGAGGGCTTTCTCCAGAGTGAAAGCTGAACCAACTGTAAGTACTAACAACAGGAAACACGTTCACGCTTTACCCACGGATGGACCGTCTGTGTCTTCTGAGGAACTTGCCAAACATTTAGTATTTTTAATGCCAATAATAATTTAGTCTGCTTTCCATAGACCATTGGAAAACAGACATCAAATAGAACCTAGCTTTTTTTTTTTCCTTCACTGATCTTTGTATAGAGTGTCTTTTAACAGGAATTACCCTAAATTGATTGTTGCTAGGTAACCAACCAGTCAGGGTATGGTCCAGTGTGTTTTGTTACATCTCCCTCCCTCCTCCTAACAGGGCAACGGAGCTGATAAAGCCAAGACAGCTCAGAGCAGGAAGTGTTGGGGAGCTTCTCACCCCCCCAAACCTTTCTGGGTGGGAACTATTATCTCAATACTCCGGGTTAAACTTACCTGCTAATGCAAGAACATAAGGAAATGCAAACTTATAAACTCCCAGCCCCCAAAGAACAAGGCCCAACAGGAAAGTGGGCGAAGAAAGGAAGGGCTGAAATACATTCATAAAATAAGACCCGTCGTCCAGCCGCAGTCATGTCTTCAGAACCAAAGGACAAATGGCATCCCCAACACTACAGACTGTGCCGAGGACAGGTGACTGTATCAGCAAAGAAAAATGGGGATAAAGACTTCTGCGGTACCCCCAGCCTTTCACATGAATTGACCAAAGTAAAACTGTGTATTAATCTCATTCTAATCCACCAGTACCAGATCTTGTAGTCACTCTAAAATATCTGTCTACCAGGTCACCACTCAGTGGTGCAGGTTTATCTCAGCTTAAGGTTCTCATTAGCCCAAGACACATTGCAGAATTACCTCGCTGGCCAGATCTATTCTGCTGAGAAGTCTCTTTTCGATAACTTATGTTAATAGTTTAAGCCTCCTTACTTTATTAAAATCACACTGGTTCTAGTAGGGCTTAGTCTCTCCCTTAGGAGATGCAGGGGACCTGGGTGGTAGGTCACAAAAAAATGGGATCAAACAAGGCTTCCTTCCCCATGGTTTCCAGGAAGATTAAAGTTCTAAGCTACAAAAATAAAAATAATAAATCATCATCAATCTGGAATATAAGCACTTGGCATTTGTAATGATTTGAATAGATGCCCAAGAGGTTATTTCTGAATAATATTAAAAATAATGACTTCTTGGCAGGGCTTGACCCGCGGGGAGGGCAGACTGTGAGGTATACTGTTTACCTCTGCAGTTCTGTAACAAGCTGTGCTTTGGGCCCTTCCTCCTGAAGGAAGATACAAGCCCGGGGGGTTATAATTCAACCTACACACTTAACATGTGTAATGTCTTTCTTTTTGTCACTACTGGGGAATGATCTATAGCTTCATGTGTGCAAGGCAGGCGCTCTACCACCAAACTACACACAATCTGAGCCCTGCTCCGTGGGTGGTCTGAGCAAAATCATTTATTAAAAGAAACTGGTGTTCCACTGCTGATGTCCAGCCCAGCCCCTTTTTACCTAAAACTTGAAAACTACCATAATTTCATTTTTTAAAAAATGCTGCTTTGAAAGCCAGGCATGGTAGCACTTGCCTGTAATCTTAGCACTTAGGAGGTGGAAGTTCAAGACCTGCCTCCCGCTCCAGAGTTCCAGGCCAGTGTGGACTATATAAGACTTCTCAAAAATATACACATTAAAAAATATGCCATTTCCAAAAGCAGAATAAGAAAGTACTGCCTTGAAAAGATGTCTGTAAGTAAAAACAATTAAAAACATTTAAGACTGCATTATAAAGCCAGGCCTTGGGAAACAGTAGAAGTGGCATCGAAGTCTGTGGCCGTCAACAGGGGTCCACTGGTGAGCAACAACTTGGGAAAGGTCAGCATTCCCTTGCACGGTAAAGTCACCAAAATGAAGGCCAGACAAGGCCAAACACACACCTCCAAATGAATACCAGACTGACAGAGGTGTCCCCTTGCATCTGTGGGGGACTCAGAAGCCCCCCACATTCTCCCGCATACTTTATCTCTGGGTTGCCTACCTGCAATGCAAAGGCTGTATCCCTGTGATACTCTGATTTGTTGGGAACAGCAATGGAAACTGCCCAGACAGTCAGAACTTAGAGTTTCCGTTCTTAGTTGGTTGCACACACGGCTACAGAGCCCACAGATTCAGAAGGGTAACTGGGAGAGGAAGTGCCGGTAACTAATTCTCTTAAGAAAGACGGTTTCCCCCGGTGCATTTCCATTGTGTGGCTTGTGCCTCAGATGTTTGCATACTCCTGTGTGTGCTGCCAGGCCAGAGAGAAACCTACCCAATAATGCAAGGAAGTCACCATACAAGGACAGTCTGCTTCTGATTCATCCGCCTCTTTCGCATCTTCTCCAGCCCCCTTCTCACTGACTGTACCTGGCTTGTGAAAATCTCCATCCAAATAAGAAAAGCAAGGACAAAGCCCAAAATCAAGTTCCCTTTCATTGGTTTTTTTTTTTTTTTTTTTTTTTTTTTTAAATTTCTGGCTCTTTCATATTCTTTAGTAGTTTTACTAAAAACTTGGTAGAAGACCAAAGTTATATTCCAAAGACTGAAGGTTTTAAAAATAACCCTATTTTTATTATTAAAGAGAAAAATCATCTTGATATATAAAACTAAGAAATATGAAAAAGGAACTAGGCAGTTGACTTATTAAAGCGAATAGAAAACAAGTAAATAAAGGGTGTGTGGACCAATGCCCGCCTACCAGAACATACCTAATATACTGGTTTTAGCACAATGGTTAGCGGCATCATGGGAGCACTTTAATGCAGCATGTATGGTGTGGTGGCCCAGGGTCAGATCTAGGTTTTAATCCTGCAAACAGGAGAATCACATGAGAAAATGTATCAATTGCCAAAAGTAACATCTGGCCCATGGCAGGCACCGTAGAAATACTGTGCTTTTCCCTTGTCTGTCAGAGGAGCAGGGAGGCACACACATAGTACCTAGATCACTGAGGTTGCCAGGAGATTCTCCTTATCCTCACAGACTTCAGCCTTCTACAAAAACCATCAATGCCAGAGGGAAAAAGTTTTAAGGACAGTCAACCAGACTACCATAGAACTGAATGAAAACCCTAACCAGAATCCACGACTTCGCTAGCTTGACCCGGAACACCACCAGGGTGTTTAGCAGCAGAGTTAAGTCGCCACCCCCGGGAACACACAACGCAGCCTCGCAAACCCCAAGCTTACAAAACCCACGGTGGTGCCTGTTACGCTAACTCTGTCTTCCCTCCCCCAGAAAACTGATGATGACGGCATCGACTTTGATTTTACTGTTCTGCTGCATGAATTCTCAACACAGGTAAAAAAAAAAAAAAAAAAAAAAGCCACGTGTGTGTCAAACTGTTCATATTCCAAGTGTTTCAAGTTATAACATTTGGATCTTTATTTCCTAGGAAATCATCCCCTGTCGTATTCACTTGTTCTGGTACCCTGGCAAACCACTGAAAGTACAGTACCACTGTCAAGAGCTGCAGAGCCCAGAAGAAGCCTCTGGAATGGAGGAAGCATCAGCCATGGCACCAACAGAGCTCAGTAATTTCTAAAGAGAAAAGAGCGATCCGCTTCTATCATATTCCAAACAAAGCGACTCCACAGGCCTACTTCATCACTCCTGCAAGAAAGCAAAGGTCCGGGGGTCCCAGCAACTTAGACAGGCCTGCAGTTACAGGCAAGTGTTTCCCCCCAGATCAGCCTTGGTGTTTAACTCCGAGAGCCAGTGCACACATGTAGCTATCTGCCCAGGGCTTAGCGGTCAGAGCACATTGCTAAGACTTTGTGCAGGTGGATCAACAATTGCTTTGGGGAAAAGGTTTCATCTCTGAATTTGTGTTTTTCATAATTTTGGACATAGTATAGCTATTTTATGTTGCTAAATTGCTCCTACTTATTACGTCAACAAACAGTTTTGTCAACGAAAGTAAATTGCGGGGAAATATTAACTGCGAATTTCAGGCAAGCATTCCTTTTTAACTTTGAAATAAATGTTTGCATTTCTAAATAACAAAATGTGTTTGTAAGCTTTTGTATGCACAGCAAAATGTAGGTTCACCTAGAATGACATCAAGTCCCACTACTGCCTGATTCAAATCTTACAAACAGTACACCATCTCACATGATAAAGCTGCAGACACACAGCGAAAGAAACACTGATCTAGCTCAGAGCATACCAAAATATACTTATTTCTTTATTTACCAGGACAACTCAGGTCCAGTGTTGGTGTAAGTAATCAATAAAAGCCAACATAATATGTAATAATCAAATTCAGCAAAGGACCTCCTCAAGGCAGGAAGAACTGATCCAGGAAATGTCATCATCTGCCTCTCACAATTATTAAAATTTAATGGAACACTTATGTCACTGTCCTAAACTCTTGAGCCAGGTTCCTTGGCCGGTAACTGATTAGGGGACATCAGCTTAATAAAAAAAAAAAAAAAAGGCATGCAGAGGCACCCACATGACGGGTGAGGTTATGTCCCCATAGAGGCTGGAAATGCAGTCAACGCACCTAAACACCCAGCCCGACAACACACAGACTTTGCTGTTACCCTGGTGCTCATGTGGCTGCAGAACTGTGTCCTGCTGCTACTGTCCCAAACTTCCAGAGTCTCATACAGTCTATTCCTTAGCTAAGGCCCAAACTGTCCATATGGTTTTCCAGAAAGAATGCCATTTCGAGTCACTGTCCAATTAACTACTAAAAATGGAGTTATAGTCTCTACTTAGATAACAGGAAAGTTTGCACTGCAGAGGAAGGATTTAGGCAGGGACACTTAACAAAATAGCCAGAAGCAGATCTGATTTTGTGTGTGTGTGTGTGTGTGTGTGTGTGTGTGTGTGTGTGTGTGTGTGTTTCTGCTTTAAACCCCAAACTGTTGCATTTACGTCTCCACTCCTTGTAACAAGTCCTAAACCCTCTGCATAAGCTCTTAAGGGAATCAGCAGCTCTCCTCCTATGCAATAATGAAGACAAAGTACTTTTTCTGAACACCCAAGAAGCAATACGTAATGATTGCACTGAGCCAAAATCAAGCCAACAGATAAAAGTTTCTAACTGAAGTTCCCTGAACAATCCTTCAAAAAAGATCCCATGAGCGCTGCATAGATTATAACACATTGCTGTCCTGTGATCTCTATCCGTTCTTTACTATCCTTCTAAATGGTATCTCAGCTTTCTCCAAGATCTTACTTCAAAAGATTTCTCATTACGCTTACAAGTGACCATACTTCAGCCAGCGAACAACAAACAACATGAGTCTTAAACTGACTGATTTTGCTATAGAGCGTGAAGAGGGATTGTATGCAGAAGTCACAAAGTTAAAGCAACTAGACATTTCTCAGTGTCTTCATCAGAACATCTTTTCTATCATGAACTCTGAGATTGTGAGCTTGATTTAATTAACATTGATTTCCCTGGCTAACAACAGAGCAAGTACTTCATTTGCCTTAGCATAAAATGAAAAACTCAATTCCCCAAGTCCTCTTTCCATTAGCGGTATAAATTCCGAGTCACCGAGTCAATGACAGTTACATTTACTATCACATTCACCTAACTTCCCGGGAACTTTTAAGATACATCAGAAGCAGTACCAGGATTCTGTCTGCCGTTTCATTCTCTTCTACTCAGTTTCAATTTTTCCTACTTGAATGGTAGTTTTTTAGATAGTACGCATGGTGGTTTGAATGAGAATGGCCACTATAGGCTCCAGGCTTGTCACCAGGGAGTGGTACTATTTGAAAGGATTAGGTGTGCCTTGGAGGAAGTGTGTCACTGGAGGTGGGCTTTGAGGTTTCAAGGGCCCAAGCCAGGCCAGTGTCTCTCTCTTCCTGCTGCCTTCAGATGCAGATGTAGAACCCTCAGCTACTTATCCACCATCTTGTTTGTCTATGTGCTACCATGCTCTCCGCCATGATGATAATGGACCAAACCACTGAAAACTGTAAGCCAGCCTCCAATTAAATGATTTATTTTATGAGTTGCTGTGGTCATGGTGTCTCTTCACAGGAATAGAACATTGACTAAGACAGTTTGTTTGAAGGTCAGTTGAAATGTCTATATTTGGACTTGAATGTTAGTCCTTCAAGACCTTATAGTTTATCACACTGACTTTTCTCAGTTTAGAAAATTCTGTCAGTTCTGTGACCTTTCCTAGTTTTCAAAACACAAGTCTCAGCCACCATGTTCCCTAGCCTACATATGAATGGGTAACTGACTAGAACGTTCTCTAGAAGTACAAGTAGGTTTCTTCCATGAGGCACTGCTAAGTTAGCTAAAGACTTCACATTCTCATTCAACAATGTATAGTTTCAACAATGCAAAGAGCTACTGTCTTCAATGGGATAGTTCCAACACATCACAACTCACTCCCTCCTGGTGGCTGCCAAATTTAAGACTCATATGTTAAATATTAAAATATAAAAATTCCCAACTTTCAAAACTGATTAAGTTCTGTTGAGTCACAAACTACACAATTAAGCAGGGAGGAAAAGAATAACAGAAAACTGAACTGCATTTTTTTAACGTCAGTTATCAGCTGAAGGACCACGAGCCCAACTGTAATATCTCACAAAGGAATATTGGTATTAAACATTAGAATTACAAAAAAAAAATCTTTAAGTTCATGTCCTAGGCCTTTGTGCAGGTGACATTGCAGTCATTAGCATCAAATGCATGCTGGAGTCAATTGCACATGTTCAGAGAGCCCCGGTGTGTAGAGATGGGTCCTCACTTAAGTGAGTCAGGAAGAGGGCAGCCATGCAGCAGCTGCCAGTGAGGCCTCTCCCCAACACAAGCTAACACTTTCTTTAAATTAGCTAAACCTACCCTTCCTAATAGTAGTGTCAAAATCTTTATTTATTAATATCCACATTGATCTTTTCCACGCAAAAGGCTTTGTTTGGTCGTTACCATCCATCCATCCATCACTAATCTAATGAGTTAGCAACAGATGTGGCTGTTCTTGTCCTACAGGATCCTGTTCCATTCACACTCCAATGTGGATCCATGCCATTGCCTATGAAATGCTGCTGATGGACTAGAAACCCAGGATAGTTACAACTTCTTCTCTTCTTCTTCCTCTTCTCTTTCACGCCCCTCCCTCTCCACCTTCTCTTGAAACAAGGTCTCACTGTGTATCCCAGGCTGGCCTTGAACTCACAGAGATCTACCTGCCTCTGCCTCCTGATGGTATAACCAGAATATTTAACAAATTAAAAAAGGCACTCAGTTTTATCCATTTTTCTGACTATTCTCAATATCCAGAGACTGCGTTAAATTCTGTGGCAGTATTTCCTTACTGAAAATGTACTCACAGTACCAAAAGCAAACTACTTCCAAGGTCTGATGGCATGGTACAGCCACACACATTCATGGAGCTAGTGAATTGTAACCACATGATCTATTTGAAAACTTAAGGAGCATGGTCTTCAAAAACTCTATCTCTATATGTTTTCTCTGGTTACAAAGACACAGTATTTACTTTCACAGGGTTACAAGAGTTAAATTAGATAATGCATCTAATTTCAAAGCAGGCAGTCAATTTAGATCTTTTTATGCTAGAATTCTAAAATTATAAAGTCTACAAATAAAGTCAAAAGCTGCACAAGATGTTGCAGGCCTGTAAAACCAGCATTGCAGAGGTCAGAGGTGGCGTGTGTGTGTGTGTGTGTGTGTGTGTGTGTGTGTGTGTGTGTGTGTGTGTAGGTGGAGAGCAGGAGTTCAAGGCTAGACATGAAAGCCTATCCAAAACACCCGAAACTTATTTCTATTATCTACTTTTATTGAGTAAGGATAACAGATTAGGGTATATATGTGGCATCAGAAGTTTTGGGGTGAAAAATTCTTAAAAGTATAAAGCCAACTAATTCTGGAAACAAAGGCTTACATTCACTCTTTCTCAACTTCAATGAACACAACATAGGCCAAACTCTAGTCACTCAACTGAACTACCATGCATCACGAACTGAGCAGGCAGCAACTCTACAAATCCCACTTTATCCCAATCTATGAATGCAAATAAGGAGAACGTAGGCAAGCTCCTTGTTCTTGTCTGATACAAGACTGCCGATACCACTGTACCCCTAACACAGGTGGTTATACGTGGGCAGAAGCCACAAACTGAAGACATTTGCCATCTTCGCTCTTTTAAGAGCCCAACAAAGAATCTGAAAATGCTCTCTAGTAAGATCATGATTCACACATGCCTCATTAAGTGACACTCCAAGATATGTTATGATGTACAATGTTTACACTCAGCCTCAACAGAGTAACTTCTAGAATATCAATGCATGCTGCAGACAATGGACGACTTACTTGAGAAGTAAATCACTGAAAATTATTGACTCTTGACTATAAATGGAAAAAGCTACATGGCTATTCTGTACTGTTTTTTCAACTTTTTTGGTATGTTGAAAACTCTCATGATAAAAAATTGAGGGAGCTGGAGAGATGGCTCAGTTGTAAAATGCTGGATGAGTAAGCAAGAGGACCCGAGTTCAATCCCCCGGAGCCCATGTAAAATCAGCTGGGCACGGCACATGCCTGTAATCCGAGTGCCGGAAGCGGGGGTAGGGGTGGGGCAGGAAGATCCCTGGGCTTGCTGGGCAATCATACTCGAGTTCCAGGTTTAGTGAGAGACATTACCTCAAAACTAAGCTGGAAAACAATGAGAAAGACAACCTCTGGCAGGTACATTCACACACAAAACACAAAGGTACATACACAAGCACATGGGAACAGGGGGCATGGGCATGGGACCCACAGTCCTAGCACACACACATGGGGTGGGGGTGGGGGCTGTATACCCACAGTCCCAGCACTTGGCAAGAGGACTGTGAGTTTTGAGGTCAACCTGGGTTACACACATAGACCTTGTCAAAATAATTTGCAAATTGAAATATATTCTAAGCTGAAATCATTCTCTTCTTCCCTTAATATTAAATATTTCTCTTCTTTCCTTAAATAAATATTAAAATATACTTCAGTAACAATCAATTTTATTTTAGGTCT